AATGATAAATTACTACTTAATAAGAACAATAAGAACTATTTCATACTAAGTATGCCTTAAATATAATTGTACTTACTGTAAAACTTAAAAAAATAGACAAATCGAATCTTGATTAATCGGTGTGCTCAAAAGCATAAGTGCACCATCTGCAGTCTAAAAGTGTTGCCAGGTTTTAATCATATATTTGTTCCCTAATTGCTTAAAAACTCAGCAAATGTAAAAACCCATTTAAAAACGGTTTTTATTTTCCCAATAGGGTATGAAATCTATCTCTGGGATGTATGTTCCCATTAGGACCGAAAGGGTTAAATAGTGACAAAGAGTTCAGCAAAGGGACCTCACTGATTCTGGATTGGACATCTTCCCTAATAATTGAATGTACATTTCTAGAACTTACTTTGCTCATACTTTTTGTGATGCTATTTGCAGAAATTGTAATATGTGAAGTCCATGGTCATGCTCATCTATCAGTAGCATTTAAAAAGACAGTATTGAAAATCATAAAGATTATTTAAAATTAAAACATTTTAGAAAACAAAACTGAACATTTTAAAATTTCTGTAGGTATTACAGTCAAAAGTCTTTAATCCGGACTCGTCGGGACTTCGGCGATTCCGGATTATCGATTTTTCCGAATTATAGATCATCAGTTTAAATCTGGTAAGATGGCATGCAGAAATTATAAAATTAAAAATATGAAACCGTAATTTATAAAATAATGAGCAATTATGATCTAAAGGGTATCAAAATTTACAAAAAAAAGAGAAGCTTAATATTTATTTGTTTACTTTATTAAACATTTCTTTCAATGCGCGCATGCGTAAAGCATACATTACGCATAGCCAAAATTAGAAACTTGTAACCAAAAAACTATTTAATTTGTATTCGTGATATTTATAATGAAATCTATGACGAGGAATTTTATTTAAATCATATCAAAGAAGGAGTACATCGAGATGAAATACTACCTTTAGTAAGGAATTATAAGCCGAATAAAATAAAAACATCTGCCCTGAAGATAACGATAGTGCTGACAGATCAACTTCCAGTTCATTGCGCGCGCGACGCCCCCCCCCATCCCCCCGCCCCCCTCACGCAGAGCAGCGTGAAATTGATAAACAGATTTCGGAACGGTTAGATAAACAAAGGATATGCCTTTATCTATTTTTTGTAGCAATTCCACTTTTTGTTTGATGGACATCGAAACATACTTTCGTTTTCTAGATCCTTTGGGAGCTCCAGCATCGGAAATTCTATTTGACATAATCGAAAGTTCAAGCTGACTTTTATAAAACTGCTCTTACAGTCTGCAAAAAATAATAAGCCAGATCCAATTCGAAGATTAAGGAATAACACAATCATCAACATTAACTGAAATAGATAATTAGATAATTTTAGCTTATACCGTCCGTTATACATTAAACACGCACGCGAAAAACGTATTCTGCGCATGCGCAGTCGTAAAGGTATTGCGCGCACGCGTAAACGCCTATGCGCATTGTGATACTTCTTTGGCGAAATGAAGCAACTCCAATGATGGAACACAGCAATAACTTTTATTTAACACTAAAAAAAATGGCGACATACAAACAAGAAGACAAAACATATTCTAGCATTTAAAAATAAATTACATTCTTCGTGCGAGAGTCGCACGAGGCACTTGAATCTGTTTTCAAATATTGCCATTTTTAAATACCTTAATGTTCATCTATTTAAATTATTTAAACTACAAGATTTTTATATTATTTAAAGCTGTTACAGCATGCGCAGATAGATTTTAGCTTTGAGGTCCGGATTATAGATCATTCTGGATTATGGGTGTCCGAATTAACGACTTTTGACTGTATAACATAAAAGTATAATGTCATATAACCGGGATGGCCAAACTTCCAGACGATGGTAGCTGCGTGATAGATTTTATGAAAGCTCGAGAGCCGAAAGCCCAAATTTATATTGTTTTAAAAATAATGAGCCATGTTATAAGTATAAAGAAGTTTTTAAAATAAATTAATGAATATGTGATTAACATGATTACACATAAATATGAATAAGTACATCTTATATCTATTGTTTTGTGTTTAGAAGTTATGTTCCAATCAAATAAAAATTTGTGACTCTTATACTGGCAACTGAGTGACTTTTTCTTCAGTTAGAGAAACCATATATTTTCTTCTGATTTCCTTTATTCCTCTCCATTTATAATTAATATTGTTTTATTTTAAGAAGTGAAATGAATTTAAAACATATTCATTGGTCTACAATTTATACATAAAAAAATTTTATTTGAGTAATTTAGAAATCATTATTTAAAAGAAAATTGAGTTTTTTTTTTTTTTTTTTTTTTTTTTTTTTTTTTAAGGAACAATTTACTCAGAAGGGCTGTTAATTTCATTTTTGCATGTGTTTGTGTTGACTTTTGTGTTCATTTTTGTTGACTCACTGTAAATGGCGAATCGCTTTTTAAATTGTTGCCACCAAATATTAGAGCTCTGTATTATATTTAAGAAATTAAATAAAGAAAAAACTTTATAAAAGTATGTTTCTCGCGTTGTGTTAAAGCAACGGTACCTAGAGGCATCCAATTTTGAATAACGTACATCACCACCCGAATATGGACATCTGGAAGCCCAAATTTGGAATTTGTGTTATTATGTATTTCATATTTTCTCAGACTTCAAAGAATTTTTTATAAAGAAACTCAACGATTTCAAAGCGAGGAATGGCAACACTGTACGGAGGGGAAAAAAAGCATTTTTATCTCCAGCGTGCTAGACTGACTGTATATAAAAAATTCTAAAGATATGCTAATTTTAAAATTTTGTGATATTCCTGTTGAACTGAATTTTATGGTTTAAGTGCGAAGAATATGATATTTAATAAATAAAGGTAGCACACAAAACGTTAAAAAAAAAAAAAGGTCCTTTTGGGTGTAATATGAAATTTTTCTTTTCTTCTCTAGACTCAGTTTTAACTCGATAATATCCAAACTTTCTATTTTCTAAAGATCAGTGAGAGAGCTTTTTATTATTATTATTAACAATGAAGTTACTAAGTAAGTAGAATTATTCTCTCGTTTTTTACCAGAAACTTTGCCCATGATTAGCCTGCTTAGTTTTAAATGTCCGCAAAACTCTGCTTTTATTAGCAACTCGGTGTCTGGACATCCTTTGCCTTGGCCAGTAAGCATTATATTGTGTTCTTTTGACTCCTTTTCATAGCTTCCTCTCTTCATCGGAGGTATTTTCCACAAATAATTGGTTGGTTAAGGACTTGGATAGCATAGGAAAATTCAGTATTTCAATTAAGAGTTATTCTGTATAGTCCGTGATCTTGTTTTTGTAATGTTAATCCTCTAAATACCGAATGTATGATTCTTTTAATTTTAATTAAAAAAAATTCAGGTTCATTTTGTATATAGGACTGCTGTAACATGTTAGATGTGCACCTCTTATTTTGGTTGCAATTGACTACACCAAAAGTATATAAATATATATATCCACTCTGTTACTCGGCTCAGTGATTGTTTCATTATTCTTGTGTGTTTTTAAATTGTGCATTTTTTGCTTTGAAAATGATTGAATTATGTTGTTTTTATCTTCTGGTTAAGGTTTTTATGCCTTTAGTAAATCTGCATGCGACATTTGTAGAATTATCAACAATTTAAAAGTTTAAGTGCGGCTAAGCCTAAATTTTTTTACCATAGCGCCGATATTTATTTACAATTGAAACTTAGCAGAACAGTGGATTTGTTGCGAATTTAGAGATACTAAGCTTTGCATCAACAAAGATAACACCCTCATTTATTATAGCGAATTAAATCATGCTTAATCCTTTCTGGGTTTTTTTTTTTTTTTTTTTTTTTTTTTAGGAAATAAGTGTTTAAGATTTACTTCATAATTTTTAATGTAATATTTTGAGTTTTTATGTATTTTGCCTTGTCCAAATGAGAACTGATAATGTTATTGTTTAAAAAAAAAAAAAAAAAAAAAAAAAAAAAAAAAAAAAAAAAAAAAAAAAAAAAAAAAAAAAAAACAAAAAAAAAAAAAAAAAAAAAAAAAAAAACAAACAAAAAAAATGAGAAATACTCATCACTGAAAACTGTTTCTTTTTTGTTTCGTTTGCTTAATTTCTTTTATACATCGTTCTATATTTATTGTAGTATTTGAATAGAATATGTGGCAAAGATTAGATAATTCTTCAAATGATATAAATTTTGTGCATTCTGAGTTATAATATAAACAAAATATAATGCTGTTAAGTGAACGTAGCACCAGAGTGTTGCTATGGTAAACAAATGTAGTGAATTTTAAAGAGTGCATTTATTCGATTGTGGTTTATGCGCTATCGACGAAGTAGATTTATTTCAATCCAATAAGTTTCAATGAAATGCAAGAAAAAATGCGTATAATATAATATTCCGTACAAGGAAGACATGTGGTATACACATCATATTTTTTGTATTAAAAGTGTGCGTTCTATGCCAGAATATGCGGTATGTCTTTAGTCGGGCTTCTGAGACATGAAAAATGCAAGTTAAGTTTTGTCAGTCGGCCCAGTAAAATAGAGAATATAGAACTGTCTCATTTCTTTTTTGACTGATTGTACATGCTTTCTTTAATGCATTTTGTAAACTTAGTTTAAGTTTTCTGTTTCACTTTGTGTTGTGAGACATACTGGCGTTTTTAATTTTTTTCCTTGACATTGTTCATAAAGTTAAAAGCTTTGTAATGTCAAATACAGACTTTACTAGGGAGCTTATCACTTCTGTAATGTCATAACATGCCATCTCGCGCTTCTTAATAACTTAGTTGTTTGGCATCAGCTTTTAGGTTTTAATTTGTGTGGAAAATCAGTTGAACTTGCTTATCTTTGTATGGATTGCAATAGTTTAGCATAATTAAGAATGTTTTTGGTATTTGTCCATTCAGGGAAACAAATTCATGACTAAACCAGGTGTCTTTTTTTTTTTTTTTTTTTTTTTTTTTTTTTTTTTTTTGCAGGGTCTTTCCAGATGGTACTGCTTGCCATTGAAGGACATAATGATACATATCCTGATGAAAATACTGTTTATTTTAAACTACATTGTCTTTAAAATTGCTCTTGATGATGGTGAATATACTGTAATGCTGTGTGCCTTTCATCAAATTGACAAATATATTCTTTCAACTGTTATCAAAAACTTGCATTGTTTGCAAAAGGAATTTTTCAGCCCATGTAAGATTAAATTTCCCTTCCCTTTTTTTTCGTTTGTTCTACTATAATCTTATTTTTATTTGAAAATTCATAGATCTGGTTCTTTGGCTGTTGCATGCCTTTTGACCATCTTCTTGAACTTCTTTTGTGTAATGGAATTGCACTAGGTGTAAAAACTTCAAATATTGAATAGTTCATTTGGCTTGAATAGCCTATCTCTAGTTCAGTTTTGTTGAAAATATTTTAATGTCATAAAGGAAATATATTTAAAATGGTTTAAAATCTTACATTGTCAAGAGGAATGAAACATGTTGTTCTGCACTTATCAATCGACCCAGTTTGGTGTTTCAAATACTTTCCCATGACAAGGTCTGTTTGTTTGAAACATTAAATGGGGTGATTATTGTTTTTCTTTTTTTCATGTGTCATTTTTCATTGCTTGTTTTATTAATTTTTTCATTCCTTCTATTAGATTTATTTTTATTTTAATGATTGTACTATTGTTGTAACAAGTTTCAACTTTCTGTACAAAAAGCTTAACTTGACATGTTTCATCACTCTAAAACTATTTCACTTTTGTTATTAAGACATTTAATTTTTAACCTACACCTTTTTCCTCTATTAGGATAATCGAGATTTCTATTCCTTTTGAACTCGATCTTTTATAGTATTATATATATATATATATATATATATTATTAAAACTAAAAGTAATCAGGTAAAAGAATAAACAAAATTAATAATTGAGCAAATTAAGTACTGCAAATTATAAATAGAGCAAACTGAATTTTTTTTAATTAAAAACTAAGAATAGAGTCAAAATATATTTTGCCTTATCATGTAAATTAAAATACAGTGGTATAAATAACTAAAAAATGGAAAAAGTGGTATTATTATGTTCAGACTTTTACATCGTCAAGAGAAGGTAAAACCTTCTTATAACAATACACTTTTTCTTGGCAGATTTATTCTGTTTCTATAAACTGAAAATTATCTGAGGCACTGAATTAATAATATAAATACTTTCAGTACCCCTGAAAATTAAAAACTCCTCCCCTACAGAACAAATCCAACCCACTAAAAAAAAAACATATTCGGTCCTAAACATGCTAATGCAAGTGAATAAATTTCAAATGAATGTTAAAAAATATAGAGTATCTAAAATTTTTTTAATTTATTGTACTTAGATAATAAATTAAAAAATTCTTGCCATTAAATACAAAGGAAAGAAATAATTGCAGCAATGAATACCGAGCAAAATATAATTTCATGGGTTTCGTTGAACCTCTGGTAAAACAAACGACCATTATAATCTGGAATTTTTTAGAAGGAACAAAGGAATGTGAAGTCAGGGTTGCTTTTGGTGAATTTATGTCATCACCATGTAGTATTGCTTCCCCCGCCCAAGAAAAACTGAATTGAAAGAAAAATGTGACTTTTAAATTTAAGTAATGAAAAATGAAAATTAAGTAATAAATGTTTTAATGGAAAAATCTTTATGCTACTCAGCAGACATTAGCAACTAAAAAAATGAAGCATTGCCCATTTTTTAGTCAAAGAAAGAACAGAAACGTAAATAGAAATATACAAATTTTACAAAAATAATACTACAGTACAAAGTCTGAAATCTGGACTCGTCGGGACTTCGGCAATTCTGGATTTGGGATGGATATTAGATCATCACTTTAAATCTGGTAAGATGGCATGCAAAAATTATACAATTAAAATTATAAAATCGTAGTTTATGAAATAAAGAACAATTATAATCTAAAGGGTATCAAAATTTACAAAAAAAAAAAAGGCTTAATATTTATTTGTTTACTTTATTAAACATTTCTTTTAATGTAAGTTGTTTAAGTTGCGTCCACAAAAAAATTCAAAGCGTTCCTTTTTCTTTTTTCTCATGTCATATACAGTTGACTTTCCAATACCATACTCCTCCCATAATTTTGAGATGGATATGCCTTTATCCATTTTTTGCAGCAGTTCCACTTTTTGTTTAATGGACATCGAAACGTGGTTTCGCTTTGTAGATCCTTTGGCAGCTCCAGAATTGGAAACTCTTTTTGACATAATTGAAAGTTCAAGCTTAGTTTTTATAAAATTGCCTTAATAATAACAATCTGCAAAAAATAATAAGGTGGATCAAACTAGAGATTAGGGAGCAGTGCAGTCTGCTACATTAACTGAAATGCCTTAGAATCAGTAAAGATTATTTTAGCCTGGTTTAATAGCATCCGTTATACATTATTGGCATTGTATCACAAGATTGGCAACAAAAGCCAAATTGTTTCACTAAATTTTGTCTTGCTCCTATTGCATACTGAATTAAGCCTGAATTGTATTAGTTTAGTTATTTACTATATGTATGTTTATTTCTTGCACATGCTTAAAACTGAGTCCTCAATAAATGAACTCTCGCATATACTTAGCGCTTTTTCTAGGGCCGGCGGTAAATACTGTCTGGTGCAGTCTGTACAGGTCCTAAATTCTGTTACAAAGTGCCATCCTAAGTTCTAAATTTTTACCGCACCTAAACTTTGCATTCCAGTGCTTTCCCTAAATCATAAAAAAACTTCTCATCCCTTAATTTTGCCGCTTGGTGCTTCCCTAAATTCTGCTGTCCGGTGTCGACATATTCTGCCGCCCCTTCTGGGTTTATGATGAATAACATATCAGTTATTCTTAAATAAAATAGCACTAAATAGCCTATGAGTTTCATTAACAAAATCTATTTTTAGCATATGAAAAGAAATTTTTGTTGAATGTTTCCTCGTCAACATTTGTTAGAGCATTTAAAAATCTATAATCATCACTAAGCGTAATGTTTGCATAAAAGGTTGCCATACACTTGTTATTCAACTACTAATATAAAAAAAAGTTTAGACACCGCTGCATGAGTTATTACTGAAGCTGTCCTATATTGATAAACATGCGGTGATGAAAGCAAAATATAGTAAATAATGACTCGCCAGGTCAGCATCAGGGATATAAAATAGGTGAATGTTTCAGTTTGAGATATATGCCAAACAGATACTCAGCTATAGAGACAAATTATTAATCTCACAAATTTATGCTTACATGATTGTTTTTCCATAACGAGGTATTTTATTTAGTGCCTAAGGGAAATTAAGAATCGGAATTTTTAAGTGAAAATCTTCAAATGTTTTATTATGGAAGGAAAAATCGAATGCGCATGTGTAAAGCATATAAAAAAAAAGTAGTTTGTGGCTTTGAGGTCCGGATTTTAGATCATTCCGGATAATGGATGTCCATATTTCGGACTTTGTACTGTATTTACATTTATGCACTATGAAATTCTTTCTCACGCATTTGTACAATTCCTCCTAAAATACAGGTTTAAGAATGGCCTTCATATCATTAGAACTCCATGAAGTGGAACTTGATTATCTTTTAACGTGTCTATAAGTGTTAAAATTTCATTTTATTCTACTTCTGTACAAATATCTTTAATGTGTTTTATTTGATTATTAATAGTATTATATACAGTTTTTTTTGGAAATGTTAGGAAACCTGTTAGTAAGTTTTATAGTAGTAAAGCTGGAATCTCTGTTGTTACAAAGCTGTAATTCTTTTAGATTAAGAATGCAGAGATCAATAATCTTCTTCTAATTGATCTGAGTATGTCTTTTTTTAATTTCAGACATTTATGGTAAATATTGTTTTCTAAGAGATTAAAATTGTTAAAGGATAGTATATTATCAATATATATGAAAGTGAAAGCAAATTTTTATAAATCATTGTATGGAAGTAAACGAAGAATTTTGAATTCTGTTGAAAATAAATATAGATTGCACAGTTGATGAGTAATTTACATCCATTGGTATACATCTGATTTGTAGAAATAAAGTATCCTAAAATTTAATGTAATTAGGAAAGAACATGTAATTGAAATAATTTTTCCAGCTATTACAATCTAAAATATCAAGCATATTTAGAAAAAAAATTATGTGTTCTAAAATACTCATTAGAAGTTTCTTCTAGTAGTAGAGAACTGTATATATTTTCAAAGAAATAGCAAGTGACATTACTTATTTTGAGATTTTTAATAGCATTAATAATAGGGAAGTTACTATCTAGCTGTAGGAGCTCATTAGCTTTTTCAAAAAATAAGCTTACAAATCTTCAGTTTAAATGTAAAAGACATGATCGAAATTCTTCTTGTGATTTCTTGTAATCACAAGATTCTATTAAATTCAGATTCATTAGCAATAAATCTGAATTTAATAGGGTGCTTGTGAAATTTAGGTACTAGTGCATATAAGTTTACAAATCTATTATTCTTAGAATTAAGTGATAGATGAAGTCTTTTTTGAAAGCATAAAGTTTGTTAATAGCAGCTTTTTCTTTACATTTTGAAATATAATAAGAGTAGGTGAATTGAGTTCTCCTTTAACTAGAGAAAAATAAAAAATTTTGCAGATTGATGCTGACGTAATTATTGGCGTTGTCCATTTTTGTAATGTTGAATTTTGACTTGAACTTAGAAATTTTGTTGTTTAAATTGCTCCAAGTGCTCATTTGTTTGAAACTATGATTTTGAAAAGCATAAAGTTTGTTAATAGCAGCTTTTTCTTTACATTTTGAAATATAATAAGAGTAGGTGAATTAAGTTCTCCTTTAACTAGAGAAAAATAAACAAATTTTCAGATTGATGCTAACGTAATTATTGGCTTTGTCAATTTTTGTAATGTTGAATTTTGTCTTGAACTTAGAAATTTTGTTGTTTAACTTGCTCCAAGTGCTCATTTGTTTGAAACTATGAATATTATTTAGTGCAATTTCGATTCCCTTCAGAATTTCTTGCTTCCATTCCATAAAGGAAGAGGTTGGGAAACTAAGCTTGAAATTGGAATTCAAAATGTCAATTTTTTTTTTTTTTTTTTTTTTTTTTTTTTTTGGCATTGCTAGAAACTTTTTTGACTGGCCTAAATTTGTGTTTTTTTTTTTTTTCCCCCAGGAGTTGTATTAGGTCATGATCATTAACTCATTAACTAGTTCCAGATCACCAATGATTGGTACGAATCTACGTAAGGAGTGTATTGTGGATCTTCACAAAATCAAGATACTTCATTATCATCTTTATGATGGCTGGTTAACCAGTTACTTAATGTTCTAGCATATTTAAAGCAGACCTGTGCTTTTCTTTGAAAAGTATTCACAGGTATCTCACTTGCTGATAAAGATTTTTTTAAAGTTGTTTTTAAAATATTAAAGCTTTTACAGGAACAGTAAAAGTATGAACAAGACAAATAAATTTTGCAATACAAATAAGAATTTAAAAAAAATAATTTGTTGTCATTTTGTGAATATCATAATTCCATTTGTATATTATAAAATTTCCTGCTTGTTGTACATAAATGTTTTTCTTTTTCTAGGAAATGGAAGTATAGCTGAAATATGTATGATATTAAGCCCCCTTCTTCATGTTTTAAATCTTCTAATGACACTTGAATGTAAAAATTGAATACATTATGAAATTTTCATCTTACTCAAAATGATATTTTTTCCAGTGTAATATTTATAACATTATTTTTAAGGAAAAAACTTAATATGCTTTGTTTCTGCTATTACCTCTTATAATTTTATTAAAATGATTATCTGTTTTATTAGTACGGTCAAAAGTCGTTAATCCGGACTCGTCGGGACTTCAGCGATTCCGGATTATAGATCATCAGTTTAAATCTGGTAAGATGGCTTGCAGAAATTATAAAATTAAAAATATGAAACCGTAATTTATGAAATAAAGAGCAATTATGATCTAAAGGGTATCAAAATTACAAAAAAAAAAAAAAAAAGCTTAATATTTATTTTTACTTTATTAACATTTCTTTCAATGTAAGTTGTTTAAGTTGCTTCGTTTTATGTGATAATACTTTCTTTTTAATTCTATAAACAGACATAATTTCTTCTTCAGTTACAAAGTTCCGCTGTTCAAGTCCTATAATTGCTGTGTCGAGAATACCGACTAATTTGTCAAACGAAATTTTTTTGCTTTCAATAACCTCTTCACTTTCGGAAGCGAATTATAATGACGAACAATTTGATTTAAATCATATCAAAGACAGAGTACATTGAGATGAAATACTACATTTAGTAAGAATTAATAAGCCAAATAAAATAAAACCTCTGCCCTGAAGATAAGGATAGTGCTGACAGATCAACTTCCAATTCATTGCGCGCCGCGGCGTCCCCTCCCCTCTGCCGCAGAGCAGCCTGAAATTGATAAACAGGTTTCAGAATGGTTAGAGAAAATAAGGATATGCCTTTATCCATTTTTTGCAGCAATTCCACTTTTTGTTTAATGGACTTCGAAACATACTTTCGCTTTTTAGATCCTTTACATATTAGTAAATATATGTCGGAAATTCTATTTGACATAATCGAAAGTTCAAGCTTGCTTTTATAAAATTGCTCTAACAGTCTGCAAAAAATAATAAGCCGGATCCAATTCGAAGATTAAGAGAACAACGTAATCTGAAATAACGCGACTGAAATAGAGAATTAGATAATTTTAGCTTAGCTTATACTGTCCGTTATACATTAAACGTGCATGCGTAAATGTATTATGCGCATACGCATATTCGCAGCCGTAAAGGTCAACACGACGCATGCGCAGAAAGTTTGTAGCTTCGAGGTCCGGATTATAGATCATTCTGGATTGTGGGTGTCCGAATTAACGACTTTTGACTGTATATTGATGGCAACCATTGAGGGAGGGCTATCAGTAATAAACAGAATTATGATCTTGGTGCTCTTCTCAAAATAGGAAGGAAGGTATTTAACTGCATAAACTGTATGTTATGCCACATAAAAGGCACATTATGCACAATATTGTGTGAGAAAGGAAAAACTGAAGAATAAAAAATATAAGATACATTTCCCTGTGCTACTGTCTCTGACCTTATATGATCAACTTTGTTGCACGTTTTGCTGCAGTCAACTGTTTATGGCTAAACTTATTCTTGTATCAGACAGTGTTGTGAGTAAATTTCACTTTCTGTGAAGGAAGTACATTTAGTTCGTCAGTTCAGGATAAATTGAGTCTATATGAATTCTATTCTTCGACACAATTCTGAAAATCTTTGCAGTCAGTGCATTGTGAGCTTTCCAGATTTGTGCAATCTACTTTCATTTTGCAGTCAGGAGCAGCAGGAACTTCCTCATCAACATCAGTGAACTGGTAAGTAAGCACTTGTACACGTGCTCCATCATACAACACTACACGATCTGGTTACACTGAGAAGACCCCCATATCAGGCAAGGGGCTGGATTGCCAGATATTGTTTCCCGAGAGGGCTAGAAATACACTCATATAATGTTACCACCTTGGGCTCCCTATCCAAGTGCCAGACTTTAAAAAATTTTCTCTACTACCACAGCTACCTCGGCCTGTGGGGTCAGCACTCCTGGTTCTCAGATTTCACCATGGCGGGGAACATGCACACCTGGAGATTTCACAGGCCGTTAAAATGCTACCTGCCAGTACTATGCTGGTTGCACTTCACAGCAGGACATTACCTAGCTAACTCAGTGTAGTCCCACACCGAGCTATAGAACCAACTGGTCCATGACTTATGCTGATCCACCCGGACAAGCTAATAAAGTTTCATCTTAAGGTATCTCCTTCCAGGCAAGTGGAACCACCAAGCTCAATGATTATGTGCACTCGTGGCCGAAACTGCCTAAGTACAGAACCTAGCCAGTACTTCACAAAGTTCTCTGTGTTGAAGGGGTAGTGAACTGATAAGCTAAATCAGCAAAATTGAAACTTGTTCAACATTCAAGTCCATAAACAGACTTGAAGCATTTTTAGCAGTTATGTCAAGAAAATGGCAAAAACATCCATGCAGAGGTATAGGAGGCTGAGCTCTTGTAATGAAAGCTGCAACTTCTTTTACACTGAAATCATGGTGTTCAATCATAAGCAAAGGAGAAACAATTTAAGCTGTGCACTTCTCATTATTAGACACACTGAAAAATCCATCCAATTAATTATCAGCAGATTCAAAAAAATGGCATTAATGATGAACGTATTTGACTTTGACTGTTGTCATAGTATGAAACAATAAAGAGGTACAGTTTTATAGATCTCGTACTGTAATCTGAGCTACCATCAGTTGCTAATGCAAATGACACATTTTGTTACACTTGCACAATTTCCCTTCCTGTAGAATCCACCATGTGCTTAACTAAAGCAATTGCCTTTCACCCCCTTCCCCCCCCAAAAAAAGACAGAATTGAGAAATACTGATTGAAACAAATAATTAGCATGTTCAGTATAGGCAATTAAAATAATATATTCCATCAGAAATTATGAGAATGAATACTTTACATTTATAATATAATTGTGATCTTTTTTTTATTAGAAATGATGATACTACCTTCAAAGTAAATTGTTATTTTTATGTTTTCCTGCTATTTATTAGATTGCATGAATAAACTTGCAGTCATCATGAGCACCTGAAAAATCACAATTATTCCCAGAATGTAACAGACAATGTAACACAATTTTCTGAAAATTTTGAAATAAGTAAACATGACCACTCTTCACTATTATATTTTTGAAGAACTTTTTGCTTCTGTGAAAGCAACATTGTAAGTATACATATAGCAACAGTTTTGATTAAAAATACAAACAAAAATCATTACTGTTGCAATTAGCAATATTCTAAAGCTCAGCATAGCTCACATAAAGCATGTATAGGGCATCAACTTGTTGGTTTTAGTCTGATCTTTTACTTTTGTTCATTCGCATATAGAGTCGCATGCAACTCAAATTTGGTATTTTTCATAGCAATTTTCGTCACGACTGTAATGTCATAGCAAAGGTCAGAAATCAATGATGGTTACAGAAAATGCTTATTATTTGTCATCTGTGTTAATATAGGTTTGAAATTCTAAAATTAGAAATTCCATTTGTATTTGCTATTTATCAAAATTAAATGTTAAAGAATCTTGGAAATTACATATTAAGAAAATTTTTTTAAAGAATTAAAATTTAATCTTTTAATATTTAGTTATTTTTGCCAAGTAACATTTCTTAAGGATTTCTTTTAGTCAAAAGTTAGTAATGGATAATATTCTTACCATATAATTAACCATAACTGTGTTATTCATTGATGGATGTCTTTTCAAATGCTATAATATTCAGTTATAACAGTTTTTACCAAAATAGAATTTTAACATTTCTGTCTAAATTTTTGATTGCATATTTATGTCTTATTGTTTTAGATTTGCTTATTTATTCTCCTGAACAGCATTTTTTAAGAATTGTTACTATTTATGCAATTCTATCTTTCTGTGTGTCTCTTTGCCCCTACATCTTATGTATATATATATATATTGTGTGTGTGTGTGTGTGTGTGTGTGTGTGTGTGTGTGTGTGTGTGTGTGTGTGTATATAAACATAACATATTTTGTTAATAAGCCAATTTAAATATATATAAATAAAGCTATGTATTTGATTCTGTTATTTTTGTTATGTATGCAAATTTCGAATATTTTGTATTTAAAATAAAATGACTTTTTCATTTCTGTTCTCTACCTGTATACTGAAACATGCTAGTAATATTGCTGTATATTTTCATAAAGTAAATATTCATTTGAAACTTGTATAATTATATATAGTTTTTCTTTCAAAAGTATATCATAATGTTAATGCTGATATATTCTGTCATAATATTTAGAGTTTTCTCTGCACTAACATGATGAAGTTCAAATTTATTTTATGTTCTGAAAATGTAGTGAAGATAATTTTTATTTATGTATGTGTTTCTTGCTGTTCTATATTATTGTCATGTTATAAAATGGTTTGCAGTTTTTTTTTTTTTTTTTTTTTTTTAATTATTTGGAAATTTTTAGTCTAAAGGGGTAATTTGCCAGAAGGACTATTAATTTCGTTTTGGCTATTTGCGTTGATTCTCTACAAGCATTGTTTCACTTTTCAAACTGTGTTAGTTTTTCCCCCCTCCCCAAGGGAAGGAATTGTAAATAAAATAGTTGATGAAAGGTAATTTTATTAGTTGAACATTAGTTAAAGCTAATAAGGATTTTATTTGAAAATATGTGTTGACCTGTGTCATCAACATTGTGAATAAAATTCTTAATTTTTACTTGCGTCCATATCCAAGAAAACTTATCAGACTCAGAGTTTCCATTTACGGAATATAAATAATACCATGTAAACTCATTTTTATAGTAGCCTATAAAGTCATAAATCTAGCTGTAAGATCAGGAGAGATTAAGTAAATGCATAAAGGTGTGTCTTGAAATACATCTTGTTCTTTAAAACAGTATTTAGGCTGAAAAAGAGTTTGGGTAAAGGTAAAATATATGTGAAATTATAATAAAAAAATACTTCGTTTGTAAAGCATTTTGAGGAACTTTGGGCCCAAACCTTTGATCAATTAAAGGGTTAAGTACACAGCATTAATTGATAGGTAATATGCCTTGCAGCTATAAACTAACTCTACATCCTGTATCGTATGCTATACAACATATAAACCATCTGGGATGTGAAACTGTGCCTCATCCGTTTTTCAACCATCATTTTTGCCACAGCATTTGGGTCATTTTTTTTCTTCAGACATTAGTAAATTACTTTAGTAAACTCACTTTCTTCAGATATTAATAAAATGCTTTACTAATGTTTATCTGCCTGTCAGAAACTTGAAGACTTGTTAACCTACAAATATGTTGAATATTTCAAAAGCAAAATAAAGAATCTTGACAGACAATAAAGAGAGAAGGAGCATTTATTGCCAACACTACATCGATATTGCTAGTGATTGCTTAAATTAAATAGGTTTGTTGTGTTTCAGGAATTCAACAATTTTATTTGCAACAGTTCCTATATATTAGTTATGAAATGTATTTTATATGAACAAAATCTCATTAAATAATTTTAAATTTTTCTGAATATTTACAATTTTTTTATATTTTTAATTTTGTTTCATATTTATTTGTTATAAAGCTGAAATATTAACAAATAGTAATATTGAATTATATTTCAGGTTTATCACTGAATTATAAGACAAGGAATACTTCTCAGTGGATAGCCACAAATAGAAATCAAGAATAAATGGCTGGTTTTACAGAAGACAATTGATTCATCATGTACCAAATAAATTTTTGTATAAATATGAAGAAACATGCAAACTATAGAATGGTGTTCTTTTGCATGTTTGTTTTGTTCCTTATGGCATTGGCTATATTTTTGTCATACCTGTTAGTTGAAGAATGTCTTTATTGTAATTAATGATTTTTTAAAAAAGGAAGAGCTATGTGTAATGTTAGTTTAAAAGATATAATAGGACATTAACATGATATTACTCTGTATTCGTATTGTGTCTTGTTTGTGTAGGAGCTGCTTGTGTATGTCTTCTGATTTTCAAGTTGGAGGAGTTTCACAAGAAGTGAATTCACTTAAAATTGTATGTCAAAATTTGCAAAATATTTACAGAAATTTGTGAAATGATGAAACAAATTTATGTTGATAAGTATTTAAGTATACAATGTTATGAATGTGTTAAATAATTTAAAGACTGTCTTCAATGAACTGGTTATGATATATGCTCAGGCAGCCTTCAGTGATAACTGATAAATCTTATGCAGCGAAGGTTTGTAAAATAAAAAATTAGAAGTACATCAAATTATCTCAAAGGTTATTAAATGTCTGAATTTAAAAATCAAAGAGTTGGTTCTATTTTAATCTGTTATGAACTGTTTTGGAAAAAAAATTTTTTTTTACTGGCACAGAGACATTTTTTTCACATCTAATATTGAGATAGAAACACATAATTCATTATGTATTTCTAAGTCTGAAAAAAATATGACTAGTTAGATGTGAATCAGTGATGTTGATACAGTCAAAAGTCGTTAATTCGGACACCCATAATCCGGAATGATCTATAATCCGGACCTCAAAGCTAAAAACTTTCTGCGCATGCGCCGCGTTGGCACATGCGCACGGGCGTTTTACGCGTGCGCGTAAGACCTTGACTACTGCGTGTTTGCAAGTGCAGAATACGTTTTCGCCTGCGCGTTTAATGTATAATGGACGGTGTAAGCTAAAATTATCTAATTATCTATTTCAGTTAATGTTAATGATTGCGTTGTTCCTTAATCTTTGAATTGAATCCCACTTATTATTTTTTGAAGACTGTAAGAGCAATTTTATAAAAGTAAACTTGAACTTTCGATTATGTCAAATAGAATTTCCGATGCTGGAACTTCCAAAGGATCTACAAAACGAAAGTATGTTTCGATGTCCAACAAACAAAAAGTGGAATTGCTGCAAAAAATGGATAAAGACATGAAGAATGTGACAGAGAGGTTAGTGAAAACGAAAAAATTTCGATTGACAAGTTAGTCGGTATTCTCGGCACAGCAATTAACAGGACTTGAACAGCGGAACTTTGTAACTGAACAAGAAATTCTGTCTGTTTATAGAATTAAAGAGAAAGTATTATCACATAAAACGAGCAATTTAAACAACTTACATTGAAAGAAATGTTTAATAAATATTAAGCTTTTTTTTTTTTTTTTGTAAATTTTGATACACTTTAGATCATAATTGTTCTTTATTTCATAAATTACGGTTTCATATTTTTAATTTTAGAATTTCTGCATGCTATCTTACGAGATTTAAACTGATGATCTATAATCCGGAATCGCCGAAGTCCCGACGAGTCCGGATTAACGACTTTTGACTGTAATTGTTTTTGACATCAAAGGTATTATCCATCAGAATATCAATGAATTACTGATATTTTTGTTAGAAAATGCTTGCCTGAAAAGAACTGAATTATAATTCTTTCAACTTCATTTATAATAATGCTTCCATATTTGCAGTAATATTAGTTCTAATTTTTATTCTAAAATTGGAGGCTTTGTGTTTCCATCCTTCCTGCTTACCTAATTTCTTCTTTTTTTTTTTTTTTTTTTTTTTTTTTTTTTTTTTTCCAAAGAGGAAAGTTCAAGGAGGATTGGCAATTGAAGTTGATCAGTAAGCCTGTCAAGACTGCTTCTAGAGCTGGAAACAACACGAGTAATAGTGTATCAATGGAGAAAAATACTGTGAAACGCATAACAACTTTATAAAGTTATTTAAAAATATATATATAAAGGTTTGAGAACTTTAACAAGCCTTCTGTTTTATGTATTAAATAAAGTGCACAAGGAAATCTGTGACTGTAAGGTAACTGAATATTTATGAGAATCTATGTGGGTAGGAAAAAAGCCAAATGGCTAAAAATTCACTTTGGGCCAATTTAAGGCCCTTTTTTTTGCTAAATTTATGAAGATGTTGAATTCAGTTTCTGTAAATCATACTAAGTAAAAAATAAGGAAAGCTGAAATTTTATTTTAATTGGATATTTTTACAAATGTCTCTCTCAAATAAATTGCAAGCAACACAGGTCTGTATAATAGATTAATTTTTTCCTTGTGTGTTTCTATATCACATGTTGACACCTCATTTTGATTGTCATGTGTTTTTATTACTTCATTTCAAAGTTATGAAAGTTACTTATTAATATTTGTAATCTTAAAAAGAAATGAAAAATTAATATCCAATTGAATAATTGATTATTTTTAATGTAACATTCCAAAAAATATAAAAAAGTAAAATTTAATATAGTTAAGATTTATATGTAAAAGATTAATATCCGAGTGATTATTTTTTAACATTACAGTCCAAAAAAAATTTTTTAATGAATTTAATGTAGTTATAATTTATATGTATAAGTTATGTATTTGTTCTGGAATGGATAAGTATTCCTTTTAGATTTATGTCTATTAGTTTTAGAAGGATCGTCTAAAAATAATCTGGATCTGTATTCGAAAGGAAGAACATAAGAAAAAAATAATTTCAAAGATTTAAGAAACTGAAATACTTTTATATTTAAATATTAATAAATTTTAATACTGTTTTATTGTGCTAAAATATTTTGATCTTATTTTGTGTAATTTACAAGGGTGTTTGTGCTCCGGGGAAACCCTGGAATTCCGAGGATCTTCGTTCAAAAGGAAGTAGGAATAATAATGAATTATTTATTTTGATCTGGGTAATTTTGTTTGCTTTGAAAGCAGAAAACGCAAGGTCAGTGTGTGTGGTGAAAACTTTTCCTTTCTTTCTCCAAAGGCAGTGATAATGCGTTAAAAGGGGGGAAAACTTCTTTTTTGTTCTTTCCTTATTGCGAGTTAGGACTCATTCCCCAGGTTCTCGAACATTCTCTTTTGGGTTCTTTTCGGCAAGTAGGCGCGGCAGAAAAAAAAGGGAGAGACTTTGTTGGACCAGATGTGCGATCACGTGACTCTGGGTTCAAATGTCTTATCTCTCCTGGCGTGGCGCCAATAAGTAGAGAAGGGGGGATTTTTCGCTGTATTAGCTATTTGTCATTGATCGCTTCTCAACTTTTTTTTCTCCGCTGTGTAAAATTTTCGTTTCATTTATTGATGCACGTGTAAATTTTTCGTTTCATTTATTGAAATATTTTTTTATTTATGTACGCAAGAGAATTTCACTATGAAATTTCTCGATATAAATAGTGATATTATACAATTAGAAGAAAGTGTCCGGGATGGATTTAGGTGGAATTAGATTGAACGGAAAGATGGTAATGGGGATACCATCGGCACATGGTGCAAGAAAATAAATGTTGCTGGACAAACATATTGTGTTTTTTGTAACTCAGTGCTGAAGTATGGTGGGGAAGGATTCAAGGCTTTCACAAATCATTCTAAAACTGTGACGCACATAAAATATTCAAAGTGCATTAGACATTCAATGACTTTAAGTAATTATGCTAATTCAAAAAATACTGTTGACTTACTGGAGACTGATGCTCGGCCATTGGATATAGTGACAAGAAAAGCACGCCAAAAGGTATTAATAACTTCGTTTATCGCCGAGAATTCTTTTTCTTTCAATGTAGCTCCCAATTTAATTGAACTCTGCAAACAGTTGAGCCGCTATCAGATGGCACTAAACTCGTTGGAAATGTCCAGGACTACTGCATGTTATAAGATGAAATATGGGCTCGCAAAAACTATTAAGGAAAATATCATGAAAACTTTAAAAGAGACTCCATTTTCTCTAAATTTGGATGAAAGTACTAGCAATGCTCAAGAAAGTATACTGGCAATATTGGTGCAGTTTTATGACAACAATCAAAATGAAGTTTAGTTCATCATTTTGCATCTCCAAATATGGAATCTTGCAATTCAGAAACTGTTTTTAAAGCAGTTGTTAATACTATTGAAGATAATAATATTCCATGGGCAAACTTAATTAGTGTATTAATGGACTCATGTAACACCCTGCGTGGAAAAAAAAAGGGTGTTGAAACCAGACTGCGATCAAACAAAGCACCTCACTTATTAGATATTGATGGTGACACATGTCACACAGCTAATAACTGTGCAAAAAAATTTGCTTCATGTTTTGATAGATACTTAGAAGATTTGTTTGATGACATCTATTTTGATATGAAAATCTGCAGTAAAGAGAAAATTTTTTTCAAAATCTGTGAATCCCTTGCCATTAAAAAACTTAAGCCCTTGAAGAGACCAGACCATAGGTGGGTGTACATTTTTATGTGTTTTAGAAAGAATCAAAGATCTGTGGGTGCTCTTATTGCATTTTATTTTCACTGCTTGGATAAAACTGACAAAAGGGATTATTTTTCTTATGTTGAAACTGTATACAATAAAAGAAATATTTCTGCAGCTCGGAAAAAAATTGTTGAAGGGGTGTATTCTTGCTTGCATTCCCAACAACTCACAAAGGATGCTTTAGCTCAGAAAAAAAGAATACCAAATGGGTTATTTGTTATGCAAAACAAAACTTTATTGCATATGGCATTATATTCAGCAGTATTACCAGAGTTCAACACATATATTAAATTATTTGAAACAAAAAAACCAATGCTTCATTTAATACATTCCAGTATTTATAAATTGATGGCAAAATTTTTCTCTTTTTTTATGAAGCCAGAAAATATAGAGTATATAGAGTGCACATCTTATAATGATTTATTAAAGGTTGATGTCACAAATCCAGAATTCCATCTACCTAGCAAAGTAATATTTACTGGTGCAGAAGCTTCCCTCTCCTGAAGAAATTATCAAAAAATCATCCAATAGCAAAAGAATTCCAAATTTCTCTGATGAAAGCTTTATACTAATACAGCACAGCATATGAAACAGAAATTATCCCTTAAAAATTCATATCTAATTAGTTTTACAGCATTAGATCCAGAGCTAAGAGGTAAAACCAGTACAATATTAGCTTTTGAAAAATTATCATCTTTTATGTCCCATATTTTTAGTGATAATGAAAAGTCAAAAGTAGAAGCTGAAATAAGGTTATACCAGAGTGATATTGATATCACCAAAGAAATGCTCTACACATCTGATGAAAGTGGAAATCAAGTCAAGTGTACAATTGATAAATATTGGTCTAAAGTTTTTAATTTAAAAGATGATTTCACAAATGATTATAAGTATCCTACATTGGCTAAATTGGTCAAAGCCTGCCTTAGCTGCTTCCATGGCCCATTAGTGGAAAGTGCATTCAACTTAATGGATACACTTGTCACTGACTATAGAATCTCTCTTAAGATTGATTCCCTAGATGCAGTGCAGACTATTAAATATGATTTAATGGCTTCTAAAGAAACCTCATGTGAAAAATATGGCTCAAAAAATCCAATGACTGATCCAATTCACAAAGATCTCTTCCTGAATATGAACGGAAGTTGGAAAACATATCAAGAGGACTTAAAAACAGGTATTTCAGATGAGTCACCTATAAAAGTCTCTGAAAAACCTTCTACATTAGCAGAAAAGCAAACTGCTTCTACCTCTGCATGTGCAGTTCTCGAGGAAATTTCTTCAACTGTAAATGGGAAAAATAAAAGTCAACCTTCCTGCAATTATGAAGTTCACCACAAAAGAAAGACAAGCCCACAAACATCAGAAAATAAAAAAAAAAGCAGCAGAAATTAGATAATTTTTTTAAAAGAATTAATTCAGATAATTTAAAATATTTAGATAAAATGTAGTAGTTTATATGTTTGAAAATTTATGGTTATTAATTTTGCAAAAAAAGTAATTCATTGAACTTTTATAATTAGGTCATTCAATATTCAATACCTCATAATTGTAATTTTTCATTTCACTCCCCCCCCTTCTCGAAATTCCAGAATGTCGGTAGTAAGTCCGTAAAAGTTTCAGGGGATTTTTTGGGGTCCCACAAACACCCCTGAATTTACATCAGCATATTCGTTTTCATTATGTTACTTAACCCCTAGTTATTCTTTGAAGTATATTTTCATATACAGATAAGACACTTTATATTAAAGAATATTAGTAGGATAAACACTGAGAGGTAAGGATCTGGGAAGAAATGCACTAAGAGAATTATTATATAATGATATAAATAGTAGAGATTACCAAAAATCTAATTTGATAAAATTAAGTTAAAGATTTAAATGTGCAGTGTGTACAAAATGGAACAAGATATGTGTGTTAGTAAAATATGTGCATAAAAATAATATGTATTTATTATAGTTGTAATTAATTTTGTGTGATCATTAATTTTTTATTATAAAATAATGGGTCTTTTAACAGATTGATTTTTTTTTACTTCTGAATTTCAGTAAATGCTTCTAAAAGAAATATTTAAAAAATTAAAGGTACTTTTCCATTTTGCCAACGCAGGCATTAAAGGTACTTTTCCGTTTTGTCGGCGTAGGCATTAACCTTTTCCCGGGAGCTGGGACATATATGTCCCTCACTTTCACTACTTTAAATGTGTCTCAAGAAATTTCAGTAAATTATGGAGATTTAAAATTTACTCCTTAATATGGATTAGGAAGAGCAAGATCCTGTCGATTTGTTTTTCTGTTCCTTTCATTTAAAATAAGTGACTAAATGGCCATAATACGTTCAAAATTGGCCTCTATAGCCCACGGGAAAAGGTTAAAGTTGCCAATAATGGTACAACTGATGCCAAATGTAATATCCTCGCTGGTAACCTTTTACGCCTCATTTTCAAAAAAAGTCGCAGACTTTTCTTAACAGATTGATTGTTTTTTTCAATACTTGCATGCAGTTACATAGAATTTTTAGCAGGTAGTTCAATTTTATGCCCTAAGGCCATTTGTGGTAATTAAGTCAATTAGGATGCAATCACAGTGCTCATCCGATGGCGAAAATGTAGAAAAGGCAAATTCAAGGGTTAAATCATCCATTCTAATGAAAATGTACTTGCAAAGTAAAGCACTGCGGTTTTACATAATTTATGAGTAAGCTATTCGTACGAATTGAAATAATTCTTGCATTTAAACTTGTATTCCAAATTAAGATTTAACCTGAAATTAATGTAGATAATTACTGAGAGAATTGGATTTTTGTAGCGTAGTTTACGTGAGATGATATCACTTGGGGTCACGTGATACGAAAAGGCAGATCAGGATGTTGAACCATGAAAGCATAGAAAATTCTTAAATTAATATCTTTTTACAAATTTCTTGTCTTTATTTATTGGCTTTTTACAACATTTTAAATTCTTAAATTAATATCTTTTTACAAATTTCTTGTCTGTATTTATTGGCTTTTTACAACATTTTAAATGTTATTAAAATGTTTATGCCTTCAAAATAAAAAAAATCTTAGAACTAACATTTTTTATATGTATACTGTATGTTGTCGCCAATAAAGTCTGCGTGGCGAGATTTGCGCCGGCAAAACGGAAAAGTACCAAATTAACTAAGCATTTTAATATCTCATGTAATCATGACTTGATACTATTTTATGTTCAAATTTCTTGTCAGAATATTAAATACTTTTTCAAAATTTTAGAAGCATAGTTCTGAAATGTGATTTTAAGTTAGTTTTTCTTTTTTCATGGAAGTTGCAGGCTCTGATCAGTACTTTTTATTATAGAGGTCTTGATTTGGTGCAAACATGTAATTAGTTTGAATTGTTTAAAAATAGTTCCCGTGTTCAATTACTGATGACTTTTGCGTTTTTTAAAATACTTGATATGTGTGATTTTTTTCAGATTCAGACAAATATAATGTGAATTTTGCTTTTGAGCTGCGATAGATGTACTAAAGGTGAATGATAATTTAATGATAGTAAACCTCAAAAGTTGTTTTGTATTGTGAAGCAATTTATAGATATGTATTTATATCATTAAAGTTTCTTAATTATGTGTCTGTTGATTTGTTTTGTCTGTGTATGTTTGTTTTTACTCTGAACCTGAAAGTGGCACTGACTTAGTTGTTCATAAAGTGTGTAATTGTATTTTGTGCATTTTGATCTGCTATTTATTTGAACAATTTTGGTTTATTATTTTTGTTAATGTTTTAAAATCTGAAGATCCAGAAGAATAATTTCTAGATTATTGAATTGAATAATAAGAAAATGTATTGCAGAATATGGTAGTAAAGCAAACATATATTTCATTATTGGGTATAAAATAGCATTGCCGTCAAAAATGTTCAGTAATGATGCTTGAGCACAAGTGAAAATTATTCCACCTATTAATAAATTTGATATTCTGCATTTTGAAATTATCTCTTAGTATTATACGTTATTCATATTATCGTAATGTGTATTAAAATATTATTGTGTTATGTATTTGAATTAGATTTATTGAAAACTTTCACATTGTAGAATTATATTTTTAAAAAAGTTTTGATTTAGGCACAACACTTATATATATATGAATGAAGTTTAAACTTTAGATTCTTTACAAATAGATATTATTAGTTTTAAATTTGATTATTTGACACATAGTGTTGGTTTTCAGTTATCATAGCTTTGCAGAAAGTAATATGTTTCTAGGTTACTAATTTTATTTAATTTTTTATATTTTTATATAAATATTTTGTAATTTAAAGTATTTTATTACTTTTAGTAAAATTAGCTAGCTATGATTATTACATTTAGTACTTTAAATATTTTAGATTTTATTAACTTTTATTAGTTTTTCTGTATTTTATGTGCATGTTATATTAACAAAGACGAATTTTTCTTAGACATATAAATTATGGGTTTTGATCACTGACTGTGTAAGCATTTATTTATACTTGAAATTTAAAAATAAAATAAAATAGCTGAAATTCAATTTATTTTTAACTAATAAACTGACATAGATGGAAGATTTGATCTATTACTGTAGGATAAATTGCAGAGAACTTTAGAATATGTGATGGAAATAGATTTCTTTTGATGTATGAATTTCAGTTTGAATAATTTTTTTGTTGGAGGATGGAGTATAATGTATGCTGTTAGCCTTTAAGAGTACCATTCATTAAGTGATTAGAATGAAATTCTAATGAATTCAGTCTACAGATTACTAAATTGCAGAGTCATCTCTACTGAAAAATGTCCATTAAAAAGATTATCAGATATGGAGCATTGTTTTATGTTATAAGTAATCTTCGTAAATACTTTTGAGTTGCTTGACTAAGGACACGTACCTGTGTATTTAAAAGGGGGACCCTTTAAATTTCCAAGGCCAGGCATGATATATGATAAGAATCTATTTTACGAGCCAGTTAACATGATATTGTCAACTCCTAACTAATAAGATGGGAATTAACATGGCCTTGTCTTAAAAAAAGATGAAATTTGTTTAGTATGGAGTCATCCAAAAATTACTGTTTCAAAATATCAGCATAAAACAGCAATGGCTTTGAAAAATGTGGAAAGGAAAAGAATAATACTTGCACTAATAGCAGATGATTTCTGCCATATAAGCTCTACCAAATAACAAAATGTTCTAAACTGATTTTTACATAAGTTGGAACTCAGTGACATTATTCAAGTTCTTTTGCAAATATTATTCTTTAGTGCTATTTGTTTCTTCATTTCTAATGTTATTTGATTTTTTTATTTACAGTGTTCTCCTTTTGTGTTGAATACTAATTAAATCATCAGAACCAAATGCCCTTATTTTCTAGATTAAACTATATAGAGAGATTTAAATAATTAAAAGTATGTCTCTGTTGTTTATAAAATGGAGTATTTTTCTTTCCTGTTATTTTCAAATGCAACTTTGAATTAAGCATAGAATTAATCTCCTATATTATCATGGTTAATAAGATACATTTTGGTGACGTCGAAAGTCGTGATGTAAGAACTGATAATGTAAACACACAAGCTTGTGCTGTGGTAGATGTGTTGAAAATTTGGAAACTTTGTTTATTTTTAATTAGTTATGAAATCTGCATTTCATCTTTAATTATTATTTCATCCGTTAGTTAACTGTTCGTTCATTTGGTTAGTATAATTTTGGTAACTTTTATATGTTATTGTTATCTTCATGATACTCTTTTGTTCACTGCTTTACCATGTTTTGATTGTTAATATTTATTTATGAATTCTTTCCTTGATAAGTAATTCATTTATAAAAAATGTACATAAAATCATGTTTACGTAGATTGCTCTTTTACACTGAAAAGAAAGTTACTATAAATATTTTGAAGTCATAATTTTATCAGCTTAACAAGCAGAACAGTAAACACAGTCAAAAGTCTTTAATCCGGACTCGTCGGGACTTTGGCAATTCCGGATTATCAATTTTCACGGATTATAGATCATCAATTTAAATCTGGTAAGATGGCATGCAGAAATTATAAAATTAAAAATATGAAACCATAATTTATGAAATAAAGAGCAATTATGATCTAAAGGGTATCAAAATTTACAAAAAAAAAAGCTTAATATTTATTTGTTTACTTTATTAAACATTTCTCTCAACGCGCGCATGCGTAAAGCATATATTACGCATAGTCGAAATTAGAAAATTGCAACCAGAAAACTATTTGATGTACATTCGTGATATTTAGAATAACGAGGAATTTGATTTAAATCATGTCAAAGATGCAGTACATCGAGATGAAATACTACATTTAGTAAGGAATTATAAGCTGAATAAAATAAAAACATCTGTCCTGAGGATAAGGATAGTGCTGACAGATCAACTTCCAGTTCATTGCGCACCGTGACGTCCCCCTCCCCCTGCAGCGCAGCATGAAATTTATAAACGAATATGCCTTTATCCATTTTTTGCAGCAATTCCACTTTTTGTTTGATCTACAAAAATCTTTTTGTTTGATCTCCAAAGGATCTACAAAAGCGAAAGCATTGAAACATGCTTTCGCTTTTGTAGATCCTTTGGTAGCTCCAGAACCGGAAATTCTTTTTGACATAATCGAAAGTTCAAGCTTACTTTTATACAATTGCTCTAACAGTCTGCAAAAAACAATAAGCCGGACCCAATTCGAAGATTAAGGAACAACGCAATCTGCAACATTAACTGAAATAGATATTTAGATAATTTTAGCTTAACTTATACCGTCCGTTATACATTAAACGCGCATGCGTAAAAGTATTATGTGCATGCATATACGCATGCGCAAAAAGTTTGTAGCTTTAAGGTCCGGATTAAAGACTTTTGACTGTATAAATAATTGGTTTCTGAAAATCGTAATAGTCAAATTTCCGGAGCAGTGTAAATGCAGTTGGCCCTTAAATCATGTAAGGATAACAATGCCAATGTTCTGCACAGTTCAAAATTAATATACAATTTTTTACAACTTAAAATTTAATTTTTAGCCACTGACTATTATCGTATTGATAGTATAAACTGCAAATTAACACATTTTGTATACTATAATATAAATGTCAAAAAGAAAAATATAGGATTTGTACTACTGAGTTCACTGCAGTACTTAGCTGTGAAAGTAATAATTATTCATAACACATTTTTTTCATTTTATAATAATAAAGTACTACCTGTATACATTTTAAGTATTTAAAAAATAAGTTTGAAGTTATTTTTAATCTTGTAAGTTACATAATTTATGTGCAGAATTTTTTATTTTAAAATCATGTAGCTCAAAAAGATTTTCAAGTGTATTTATTGAAAAGATCTACCATAGGAAATAGACTAGAGTTATTCTAATGCATATACCTAAGGCACATGTTATACCAAACTATGGACTGACACAACCACTGATTTTTAAGGACTAAATATACACGCTAATTTAATATTTAAACTAAAAACTCAATAATCTCCCATCAAAATTTAGAATTAAGTATAAAATCTTTTAATAAAAAAGCACCCTTATATATTAAAAATGTTTCAGTATTACTGATGCTTCTAATATTGCTGTTAGTATCCTTAGTATCTAGAATGGAAGGTATTAAAAAAAATGAATATTCCGATATTTATGTGTATTCATCAAAAATCGATTAAGACAGCTAAAATATTAAAACATGTCCCGATGAAATTAATAAAATTTTAGCTGCATAAAATATTCTGTGACACTAATTAATATTAATAAGAGAAAATTGGCTTTGTATTTATGTTCTTGCAGATAAAGAGGTCTTTCACAAATTCAGCTATTTCAGTAATTTAGAACAGCTCTTCTAGAACTATGAATATACTATTATTATATCTAACATTTAAAAGTTTGGAAAGTGTTATTCAAGGTCTCGGGAATGGTTTTCAATTAACTAATATACACTTAATATTCTTAATGAAAACATTATTAATACTGGTAAGCATCATGCATAAGAAAAATTTATAAATCTTACCTCGTTTTGTGCAGAAAATTTGCACAGATGTTTCATAATTAATTGATTTCTTCATTTCAGCCTTAACACGGCTTGTTTTAAGTACTGTGCTATCCGGCAATACTTTGAAGCAAATATTGTTCTCATGTTTTTCCTTGAATAACAAAAGACCCTTCTTGTTGACATCAAGGAAAGAGAAATCATTTCCAAGCTCTTTTTTTTTTTTTTTTAATTATTATTTATTTATTTATTTCTCGCAATAACCATAAATTTCTAAATTCGAAAAATCAGTTAATTTCAGCGGAATATCTGCTCTTGACTCCATTGTAAACATAGCACATGCGGTTGTTGTTGTTCTTAAACCATGTGACCACATTTTCCCTCTTCTTCTCTTGCAAAATGTATCTCATTAGGAGTTGACTGTAATATAAACTTTACAAAATTGTTTGCTGTTTAAAACTCTAGCTTTCTATAACTTTCCCATCTAGGAAATATTTTAGCACAAGTTAATTTCTGATTTGAATGTTATTCATAAGTTTTATAGTTATTCATAAGACTTCCACATCATGCAAAATTGTTGTGTTAAGATATCAGTTCTATGAAGGTGGTTGGCATTGTCAATAAGTAGTGTAAACAACGCACTTTCTTTTTTGGACTAGAAGAGAAACTTACTTTTTTCTTGGAATTTTTTTAATATAAAAAATCTTCAAATATCTTCTGGAATATCTTCAAAATAAATTTAGCAATTGCATTTTTCCTAGAGTAATGTTTAAGTTATCCTAGTACATGTTATTTTTTCCCTCCTGCGATATCTAAAATTTCATAGCCAGGCTTTATGGAATTGCTTTGCTTAATGGTACTGTAGTAGTGGAACTCTAATAATTTAAATAAATATATGTAATTTTGCTAGCTAAAAAATATTTTAACTATATTCCAATATAACTGAAATTGTTTATTAATGTTAATAATAAGTAATCGGAATTTATCATTTATTGAATTTTAGAACTATGTAGTCTACATTTCAGTCAGCATGTTTTACAGTGAAGTTTATCAATTTACAGAGGTGTCATTTATTTATTTGCCATTGGGATCAGGAGCTTTTACTGTTTCTTGAATTCTACCAATGCATTAATCTTGAAGCCTGTAATCAGTTTCCTTGCATTTTCAATCATCCTTCCCTTCCCTTATACAGATATGTTAAAACTCATAGCTACTGCATTCACCTTTTCTTTTTTTTCCCCTCCCCCCCCAAGAAAACTGTAATAGCATCTTAATAGGTTGGTGTATTGAGAATACGGCAAAGCACACGAGGGCTATCTCCTAGGGAAAGGATGCCTTCATGAACGACTTTCTAAGGGAAACTGGCTGGTATACACATTACACATGGGGAAAACACCCATGCAGCCAGCCCGTACGCGGGATTCGAAACTCGGACCAAACTACCAGCGTTCAGCAATTTTACCGCTCGGCCGCTGGTGGGCCAGCACCTTAATAAAGAACTTGTATTACCATTAAATGTATTCAAATTTTAAAGAAAACAATTCCAAGCATTATGTACAAAACTCATGCATATTTATAAAAAATTTATGCTATCAAACTCGTAATAATTTTAAGTTTTTGAATGGGGGAAAATTAGGTCATTTCACATTTTTGTCATTGTTATTTATTGATTTTTACTTAAGTTATTACACTCACTCTTTATTATTATTTTTTAGTTTGTTTCACCTTTTTTGGGCCGGGGGGGGGCTTGTTTTTGTGCCTTATTGTAACTCTCTAAAGTTTATAAAATAATAATAGGAAAACTTTTGAGATAAATTAGATGTCTTTTTTAAAGTAAGTTTTGTATATGATAGGTATATTTCTTTATTTTTTATCCATATTGTATTTATTTTTTATGTAATTTATATAAATGTCGACACATTCTACACTAGTGGGATCATTTTTAATTTAGTCGAATAATTTGATTCTTTTCAGACGTTGATGAAGTTGTCATTCAGCGACCTGTGATGTTGAATAGTGATCAGTTTGTTTGTTTTCATTGTCCATTTTCTTCAAATAAAGCAGAACACATTCGCGAACATTTGCAGACTCACTCAGGTGAACCAAACAGTATCTGATGCTCGACTATTTATATTTTATCTTGGAAATTAGCAATCCTTCATACATTTTTAAAATCTAAATGTGTTGTAAAAGTATTTGACAGATATGCATTTCATGAAGTGAATCAGAAGTTTTCTTTTTTTTAATTTTAATATCTAAATTCCTATAGTCCTTCAAATGCTAAATTATTATGAGTCTCCTCTCTTTATACTTTGCTACTTTGATTGCTTTGTTTATAAATATATGTCTATGTGTGTGTGTGTGTGTGTATATATATATATAATAAAATTTATATACTTAATATAGGTTTATTACAGTATAAGTTAATGACTTATATTAAATATTTTAATTTTACCTACTACACATCTCTCACATTTATAATAATAATTCTGTAATTATTATTTCTATTTAATAATATATTGCTGTGTAAATGAGAAACATTTCTATTTAAATAATGACTAGTAACCTACAAAATGTTTTCTTTTTATTGAGTATAAGGGATTTAATACATAATTTGCATTTTGATAGATAAAAAATAGTGAAAATAAAAATTGCTTTATCTACCCATTTGTATTTAAATAGGATGACTTTTTTCCTTTGATATGACTTGTTATTTTCAAATTCTGAGGTTATACTTCATTATCATGCTTAGCATAATTTTTTAACTATAATTTTAATTTGCTATAATAAACAATTGCCATTATATGTAATATATTTTAATTTTTTCAGAATGCCGCCGTAAGTCATTTTCTCGCAAGGCTTCAGGTGCAAATCGATTTACTTGCTACCAGTGTTCTTTTACAACTGATACTGAAAAGGCGATTTCAGAGCATCTGCAAAGTCATGTAGCTAAACATCATTATAATTGCTACATGTGTGACCAGAAATTTCACTTTAAACATGAATTAACTTTGCATCTTAAAACACATGCAAGTTGTCAAACATTCAGGTGTGATTTGTGCTCACGAGAATTCTCTCGTCTTAGTATGCTGTCTTATCACCGAAAGTATCATACAGATAAAAAATTGTTTGAATGTCGTTATTGCCATAAAGTGTTTTGCGATATTATTTCATTCAACCAGCATGAAAGCATCCATACTGACACTAATTATGTCAACAGAAAATAAATACTTTCTGGACAAGGTGAATTTCAACATACACGATTTAATTTTAACATTAACAGCATTAATTTCAACCAAATAGTTTTTTATATCCCTTCTGGATCAATGTACCTGCAGTTCAGTTTAAATTTTTTTTTCATAATGTTTTATATATATTTATGTTGTTCTTGCAAAAAAAAAAATGTTTACAGTTTGTTCTTGTAATATATTTGACTTGTGAATGTAATTCATAGTGTTTAAGGTCATATAAGTGTTATATAATGGTTCTAAAAGACTTCAAACATTAATAAAAATTCTTTTATTCAGCCTCATATTGACTAAATATTTTTTCTTTTAAAACATGAGCATATATAAATTTGAAAGCATCGAACTTTAAAATAATTTGAAGGATAAATATTGCTCATTAACCTTTTTCTTCATTATGTAATTTTGAAACAGTGTTGTATTGTGCTGTGTATGCCCGAAATTAAACATATTTTTAGAAAAACATCTAGAACTTTTGATTAGTTCTTTATTTTAAAAATGTGAATTATATTTCTTTTGATTTAATATGCTAAATTTATCTTTGGTTTCAGAAGCATTTATTTATCTGTAATTAAAGCATTTCTAAAATCAGTTGATGTAAAATTATTAATGGAATATTTATATGTATAGCAGAAATTAAATTGGGTAAAAATGTAACATTTATCACCACAAAAATAAGAAGGTTTAAAATGTTTGTTGATAGGAAAAGGAAAATATTTATTGATGATTAAGAAATAAAAATATTTTCCAAATAATATATTAATATTTAAAACTTTCTATAAATGTAAGGAAATTGATTTTACGTGTAATTTCTTTTAGGCTAGAAATTTTGTGTTTTTTGATTTTGAGCATTCTGAAGAATGTATTTTCAAAACAATACTCAAGCAATCTGACAAGTCCTAAAATAAGAGATCAATTCTAAACTTCTTTGTGTAGTTAAAAATATAAAGTGGCATGAATCATATACATGAGTAAATAGAACTGATGGACTGTATTAAGTAAATTTTTTAACTAGAAACTTCAAGTCATTTTTGCAGCATATCATCTTTTTTACTATAACATTACTCATTCAGTTTCGTAGCAGAAATGTTATTGTGAAAACAAAGTTTGAGTACAATTTTTGCTGAGTTACATCCACCATTTCGAGGAATTGCCAAAGAAAATTCTTTATTCATTAATAATGAATTTCTTTGCAAATGATAAATGAAATATAAATTTTTGCTAGAAGCTAATCAAAGTTGCAATGGTTCATGAATTATTTTTTTACTTTTATTCTTAAATAGGAAATAAAATTTATATAAAGCAGAATCTGTATTCTATAATTTAAGAAAAAATTTTAAGTTGAAAAAACAAATTTATGCAATTAAACAACAACATTTTGTATTTTTTCCCTCTCAATTTGTGTTTGTTTTTAAAAATTTGCGTGTTGGGCATATTTAATAATGTTATTGTAAGATAATATTTGTTTTTACAATAAAAAAATGAAGATTATCAGAAAAATGATTTATCTACAAAAATAATGCCCTTTTTATATATAATGGGAGGGAATTATTTTTATTACTTGCTATTTTCAAATTCTGAGGTGATACTTCATTATCATGCTTAGCATAATTTTTGAACTATAATTTTAATTTGCTGTAATAAACAATTGCCATTATATGTAAAATATTTTAATTTTTTCAGTTGATAGTTCAGTTGATAAATTAGTTTTTCAATTCCCCCACCACACACACAGCATCATTTAGATTTTCTCATTGAACCCTTTTGTAATCAAAAGTGCTTGTATCTTATCTGATAGTTTTCTCATCACAATAATATTTGTTTTTACTGTGAGCTGTTAAGTGAGATATGAATTATTCTTTCATTCCTATTTTGAGCATCTCACTTAAATGAACCTTTCCTTTTTAGTTGATTCTAAACATTTCCAGTTCTACACCCTTACCTAACCAACTGATTTTATCTAGTACAATAAAGAATGCCTTGCTGCTGTTTTGACTAAAGCAGAAATAAATGGCATATTATTTTGATAAAACAAGTGAAGATGATAATTTTCTATTGTTAATGGGCATATTGAAATTATAGTTACTTTCCTGAAAAAAAGGAATTTTTGACAGTGAAAATTTAGACATGTTATTTTCATTCGGCTGAAGTTTATGTGCAGGGACTCAAATTTGTTTTTTTCTCATTAGTTCTATTGCATATTGAAACTACAAAAAATAAACTGAAACATGTATTGTAATAACTTAAATAAATGTTTAAAGGGCTACAACTTTTTGTAATTATGCATACCTGCATGAAAACAAATCATCACTGTCAGTGTTTTAAAATATGAATAGTTTTGTTCATTAAAGAGTAATCTACAAATTATAGTCTCATAGAAGATATATTCTAAAGCCACTTTATAATGGTGTCAGCACCTCTATGCAGATTGCCATCAGGTACCTTCATAAGAGTGCTTACACTACCAACTTCAAAAAAAAAAAAAGCTTGAAGAAGTTGTGGGCACAGATATATGTGGTCCAATTTTCCTTTGCTTTACTGATTAACTCATTATGCAGAAAAGGAAAAAAATCATCGGCTTTTTTATGGAAAATTATTTCACTTGCATAAATGTTTCTGCACCTTAATGCAAAATTTTAGACTTCCACAAAGATTATTTGATTGCACTGAACTAGAATAATACTGTGGCTAGGGTTTGTAATTCTGATAATTATATAAACTGCATGCATCAGTATGATGAATATATCTTTTATTATGCAATGAGGTATTCTGAAGAACAATTACAAAAATTCTAATGCAATACATTCATAAAACTATAACAATAATCAGCAAGATATTACACATAAGCTTGATAATAATGCATTTAGTCTAACTTTAAATGGACATCCATTAAAAATGTTGGCATGTAAACATTAATGTTCATGGACTTGATAACATTTAAAAGCTTGTTTTATATCATGGTGTGGATCTTTATGGATTGAAAAAAAATGTATTTTTTTTAAAATTATTCTTAAACAATATGGCATTTTTTAGCTGATATAGTGTTAATAGCTACAGGTGATGCTTCAACAATGAATTTGATAAATATAAATTATAATCTGTATATTCTACACATTGAATAGTTCAGCTGTTGTCAAAGTTTTTTTATAATGATCAAACACCCATTGACTTATTGGGTAGGATTGATTATGAAAACTCACTTAAATATTCCTATTAAAATTAATACATATAGTTCATGAAAATAGGATAGATTTTGAAAATAATGATGTTTCTGAAGGAATAGGGAGCTTAGCTATTTCTTTTTATTTAAATTCTTTACACAATAGTGGTTCTCAACCTTTTGACTAATGTGTACTATCTTATAAAAAACCAAAAAGCTTTAGTACCACCATTACATTATATGATGATTATTTTTCAGTTTCTTGGTAAAAACATGAAAATGTATATATGTAATAATAAACAAACTTATAAGTACAGTCAAAAGTCGTTAATTCGGACACCCATATTTCGGAATGATCTATAATCCGGACCTCAAAGCTAAAAACTTTCTGCGCGTGCGCCGCGTTGACACATGCGCATAGGCGTTTACGCGTGCGCGTAAGACCTTTTACGACTGCGCATATGAGCGTGCGCAAGCACAGAATACGTTTTCGCGTGCGCGCTTTATGTATAACGGACGGTATAAGCTAAAATGTTCTAATTATCGATTTCATTTAATGTTGATGATTGAGTTGTTCCTAAATTTTCGAATTGGATCCGGCTTATTATTTTTTTGCAGACTGTAAGAGCAATACTATAAAAGTAAACTTGAACTTTCGATTATGTCAAATAGAATTTCCGATTCTGGAGCTCCCAAAGGATCGTACAAAACGAAAGTATGTTTCGATGTTCATCAAACAAAAAGTGGAATTGCTGCAAAAAATGGATAAAACATGAAGAATGTGACAGAGAGGTTAGTGAAAACGAAAAAATTTCGATTGACAAGTTAGTCGGTATTCTCGGCACAGCAATTAACGGGACTTGAACAGCCGAACTTTGTAACTGAACAAGAAATTATGTCTGTTTATAGAATTAAAAAGAAAGTATTATCACATAAAACGAAGCAACTTAAACAACTTACATTGAAAGAAATGTTTAATAAAGTAAACAAATAAATATTAAGCTTTTTTTTTTTTTTTTTTTTTTTTGTAAATTTTGATACCCTTTAGATCATAATTGCTCTTTATTTCATAAATTACGGTTTCATATTTTTAATTTTATAATTTCTGCAAGCCATCTTACCAGATTTAAACTGATGATCTATAATCCGGAATCGCTGAAGTCCCGACGAGTCCGGATTAACGACTTTTGACTGTATTTAGTAAAATCCTAGTATATGGTACAATTACCACTTGGCACTTCCACAGAAGATTTACATTTTTGATATTGTTGAGATAGAAAGCAAGCCAGCGAAATTACATCTTAGCGCAGTAAGAGAGCAAAAGCTTAGTGAAATTTTGAAAATTGTTGTCAACCCCAAAATGACCCATCCAGTGCACATCATAAATGTCGCATTTACTGCTCATAATAATGTCGCCAAATCCCTTGTGTACCGTATACTAGGATTAAACGAAGTAATGAACAGCAGGAATTTTAATAGTGTAGAAATGTTGATCCATAATGAATAGGAAACTTGCAGCCGAGGCAGATTAAATCTTCATTTTATTTCAGTAAACATAGTGCAGCCACAAACAAGTTGGCACATTATTTGTGCCTATTTCAAGAGGTTTACATTTTTGATAACTTTGCAGGAAGAAGGAAGCAACATACCAGCTAGGCCCAAGAGTAGCGAGTGAGTGCATTATGTTCAGGGTGAAATCTTAATTCAGACTGAGCTAGTTTTGGTTCTCGATGCATTTTGATTGGATAATGCTATAAAATTATTATTGGCTGTTTAGGTTTTAGTTCTATTTACATCATCAGAATTATGTAAGAGTTTTACGACATGGATTAATCTCGAAATGACGCAGTGCAAAGAGAGATTACTATTTTTAGAATAGAGAACGGAAATTAATTTATGCTGCTAATTTAAATTTTATCTTTTACATACTTCATTTTTCTTATATATATAGTATATGTATGTATGTCATAATAAAAGCAAAGGAAAATAATTGAACTGTAGATGCGTGATTAGACCCATATTGAAAAAGATTTTGATAAAACTGGGCAGTCGAAGCAGTTTTGATTCCATTTTTATTTCCAATCACTTGCAATTACCACTTGGCACTTCCACAGAAGATTTACATTTTTGATATTGTTGAGATAGAAAGCAAGCCAGCGAAATTACATCTTAGCGCAGTAGAGAGCAAAAGCTGAAATGCGTACTGTCTGTCTACGGTAAGAACAGCTCCCGCCACGGTGTCTGGCGAGTGGCGGTCACTATAGCAACAGGGCTAGTATATTTCAAATAGGGACGAACCAAGG